TAATGATTACAAACTAACATTATAAATATAATATTAGATACTTATTAATTAAAATTTAAAATTTATTAATTATATACAACATACATGATTTCGTGGGACACGTGCAGATTTGGTCTATGACCTCCAATCTACATATGCTTAATATCTCATTAATTACAAACTTTTATTTACACTATTTGAGATAAATTAAAAAAAGTTAGATGGTCCACTACCTTAATGACGATCTTTAATTATAACTATATTTTATATTTTAATAAAAAAAATTTAATACTAATAAAAATAAAATATTATTTAAATATGATATTTTATAATAATTACAAATTAACATTATAAATATAATATTATATACTTATTAATTAAAATTTAAAATTTATTAATTATATATAGCATACATGATTTCGTGGGACAGGTGTGGATTGGGTCTATAACCTTCAATCTACACACACTTAATATCTCATTAATTACGAACTTTTATTTATACTATTTGAGATAAATTAAAAAAAATTAGACGGTCCCTTGCCTTAATGACGATATTTAATTATAACTATATTTTATATTTTAATAAAAAATTTGAACACTAATAAAAATAAAATATTATTTAAATAAAATATTTTATAATAATTACAAATTAACATTATAAATATAATATTAAATATTTATTAATTAAAATTAAAAATTTGTTAATTATATACGTGGGACAGGTATAGATTGGGTCTATAACCTTCAATCCACACATGCTTAATATCTCATTAATTATGAATTTTTATTTACACTATTTAAGAGAAATTAAAAAAAGTTAGACGGTCCCCTACCTTAATGACGATCTTTAATTATAACTATATTTTATATTTTAATAAAAATATTTAACACTAATAAAAGTAAAATATTATTTAAATATGATATTTTATGATGACTACAAATTAACATTATAAATATAATATTAGATACTTATTAATTAAAATTAAAAATTTGTTAATTATATACAGCATATATGATTTCGTGGGACAGGTGTGGATTGGGTTTATAATCTTCAAACCGCACACGCTTAATATCTCGTTAATTACGAACTTTTATTTACACTATTTGAGATAAAGTAAAAAAAGTTAGACGGTCACCTATCTTAATGACGAACTTTAATTATGACTATATTTTATATTTTAATAAAAATATTAATACTAATAAAAATAAAATATTATTTAAATATAATATTTTATAATGACTACAAATTAACATTATAAATATAATATTAGATACTTATTAATTAAAATTAAAATTTTGTTAATTATATACAGCATACATGATTTCGTGGGACAGGTGTGGATTGAGTTTATAACCTTCAATCCACACACGCTTAATATCTCGTTAATTACGAACTTTTATTTACACTATTTGAGATAAAGTAAAAAAAGTTAGACGGTCACCTATCTTAATGACGAACTTTAATTATGACTATATTTTATATTTTAATAAAAATATTAATACTAATAAAAATAAAATATTATTTAAATATAATATTTTATAATGACTACAAATTAACATTATAAATATAATATTAGATACTTATTAATTAAAATTAAAATTTTGTTAATTATATACAGCATACATGATTTCGTGAGACAGGTGTGGATTGAGTTTATAACCTTCAATCCACACACGCTTAATATCTCATTAATTACAAACTTTTATTTATACTATTTGAGATAAATTAAAAAAAGTTAGACGGTCCCCTACCTTAATGACGATCTTTAATTATAACTATATTTTATATTTTAATAAAAAAATTTAACACTAATAAAAATAAAATATTATTTAAATATGATATTTTATAATGATTACAAATTAATATTATAAATATAATATTAGATACTTATTAATTAAAATTAAAAATTTGTTAATTATATACAGCATACATGATTTCGTGGGACAGGTGTAGATTGAGTTTATTACCTTCAAACCGCACACACTTAATATCTCATTAATTACGAACTTTTATTTACACTATTTGAGATAAACTAAAAAAAGTTAAACGGTCCGCTATCTTAATGACGATATTTAATTATGACTATATTTTATATTTTAATAAAAAAAATTAATACTAATAAAAATAAAATATTATTTAAATATAATATTTTATAATGACTACAAATTAACATTATAAATATAATATTAGATACTTATTAATTAAAATTAAAATTAAAATTTTGTTAATTATATACAGCATACATGATTTCGTGAGACAGGTGTGGATTGAGTTTATAATATTCAATTCACACATGTTTAATATCTCATTAATTACGAACTTTTATTTATACTATTTGAGATAAAGTAAAAAAAGTTAGACGGCCCCTTGCCTTAATGATGATCTTTAATTATAATTATATTTTATATTTTAATAAAAAAATTTAATACTAATAAAAATAAAATATTATTTAAATATAATATTTTATAATGACTACAAATTAACATTATAAATATAATATTAGATATTTATTAATTAAAATTAAATTAATTTTAATAAAATTTAAAATTTGTTACGTAACGCCCAAGTTTAAATTTAATGTAAATTAAATTAATTTAAATGTAATTTATTATTTTTTTAATGTTAATTTAGAGTAAAAATGAAGTAAATTTGATGGAGTATGAAATTGAAAATAATTTTGGAAAAAAATATGTGAAAATTTGGGTTCTATAGATATTTAAAAAAATAAAAATAAAAATTAGGGGTCGAAATACAATTTAAAAAAATTTTGCCACTTAGGATGCCCGGTCAGCTGTCTCGACGTAGCAGGACGCTCCGCGTGGCAACGGGCACTAACGTAGTGCCACGCGGCCGATCTACATCCTCGTGATTGAACACCTCAGATCCGTTCCCAAGTGCACGAACGGTCTGGATGCGTTTCCTCTCCAAACGCAATCGGACGGTCAAATTTAAACACAATCGGACGGTTCAGATTAGATCACAATGAATGGTTCAGATTCATTCCTTATTTAATTGCGATCGGACGGTTTAAATCAAATGCGATGGATGATCCAGTTGTATAAATAATTCTCTTCACACCAAACCCTAACCCTAACTGCCAAACGCCTTCGCCAGAGAAGAAGACCCAGCTGCCGGGAAGGAGAGCCGCCGCTATCTGCTGCCGCGCCGGAGCTACTTCCGACAGCCAAAAGAGTTAAAAATTTCTTTGTTTGCTCGGTATTCAATTTTAAACACCCCCATGACCAAATCGAAGCAAAAGGACCAGCCGATTGGCCGAAAAACGTGGGCCAAGCCCAGCGGCGACATTGCGGAGAATTTCATAAAATGCCTTCGATGAGGCACTTCCTAATTCCTGTTCTGCATAATTTTTCCACCATTATGATCACCATTTCCTTCTCTACAAGTTGACTAGAGCAAAACACCCAATCGCAACGTGAGCTGGAGGAGCCACCGCACCAAAGAGCCCTACCGCTGGTGAGTTTCAATTTATTGTATTTTTTTGGTCAACCGAGTCCCCTTAACGTATTTTCTCGCATGAATTGATGCAAAATTGGCTGAATTCGGCCGAAAACTACCGACCTGAGGTGGACAGCCACCGCTTGCCGGAGCACGGCGGAGCCGCTGTGCCAGAATTCGAGAATTGGCCAAAGTGGGCCCTGACACTATTTTTGAGTTTTTTGAGATATTTGTAGGTACTTATAGTGCGTTTTAATCCTCGAAGAAAAATTTAGGGAACTCGGGGACCGTCAGTGGACGCAGTCAACAGCTTAGCCTTTCGGGCATCAAATTGAGTAAGAATCTCTTACCATATTATCTGTTATAGAATTGAAGTCTAATTAACAATAAATACGGTATTTTGTTACAATTTATAAAATGTGCATAATTAATTACGGATTACTAATGGAGCCAGAACTGAAAGTTATCTACTGCTGTTCTGTTGGTTGTTTTATAGTTTAAATGCATGATAATACTTTATTGATTGATTTTATAACTTTGAATACATGTATTATTTGATTTATGTGATTATCATTGAATCAAAAAATGGAGATTAAAGAAAAATGAAAATTGTATGATTAAGTGAATGGATGAAACGACAGCTTCATTAGATATCTTAGGAGATGGTAGACAGACTGAGTATAATAGGGAACCCTACCGTAAATGTTGTCTCATACTGGACGGGGTATCAAGACTTAGTAATTTGGCGCTCATACTGGACGGGGTATAGGGACGACTCGCAATTGAGAATATTAAAGGAAATGATTCATGCGTAGCAGAGACATCCATATAAACCCCAATGGATACCAGCAGGCCGATAAAAAATGGCAATTGTTGTTTTGATGATTTGAATATGAAAGTATAATATGTGTTATGTTGCCGATTATATATGTCATGATATGTATAATGTTATTTTTATAAATCTCACTACAGTAAGTAGACAGTAAATTATTTTATTATTGATAAA